ACGAACATGCTGGAAATCGGTACTATCCAACACTGTAGCCACCAGCCAAGGCAGCCAGCACTTGGCTTCAGGGGTGAAGGAACCAACTAGATCTGGCAAGTGGGGGGTTGAGTGTTAACGTTTGGTAGAGAGTCTGTGGAGCTCATGAAGCCTTATTGTGGAGGAGAGATGAGTAAATGGACGAAATCGAGAATGGTGCATTGGGGCGATGAGGAGATGGGCTGTGCTGGAAAGGTACTTAGGCACAGCACTAGCATGGATTAGCTCACCAAACCAGTGGTCCATCAGTGATGTGTAAATGGGAACAAGGAGTGGGGAGCTAGGTTTATATTTGGCTCTTATTAGGGGAAAGGGTAAGTTAAAGTAAAATGCTCTGCATTAACAAAGCTAGCACTAGAATTAAAATAGACTTTGACTCCTTAGGCAGAATTGGAATGTCTGTGGTCCTGTAGTGTAACTGTGAGCCAAATGCAAAAAGAAATCATAAGAATTATAAAGTCTTATTTCCTCTGAAAAGCTATAAGAATCCATAATTCTACAAAGAAGGTATTCTATTAGCTAAGATTGCTTTGTTAAAAAAAAAGCTATAATCTTGAACTTCAGTCATTTATAACTTTAGGTTATAAATTCTGAAACACTAAAATGACATTTCAGAATATGCACTCTATATTTATATATAATGATACTAATCAAAAGTTAAACATGGCTGAAAAAATAGCTTTTTAACTGAATACATATTGATTAGTCTGTTTCATTTTACAGGTAAGAAACAAGAAGCCTAAAAAATATATGACTTAATAAAGTTTGCCCAACCATGATCCAAATAGGTCCAAGCCACCTTACATTTGAAGCAGAAGACATGCTGAAGACATATCAGGGAAAATTGACTTTTAATGCTGTTTTCATGACACAGAGTAATTGTGCGTATTTGCCACGTACTCAGTGTGCACTATACAACATCATATGATGTTTCTATTTATGTTTACATTGTATAGTGAACGAAAGAGAATAATTAGCAAAATGAATAAATTCTAACAATATGCCTCATTATAGACATTGGATCCCTCTCTTTGTATCGCCCAATTTATACTTTGTATTATACTTTCCCTACTTTCCACTCATTTTTAAAAGTACTTTGTCAGGATGCTGTATGCTTGGAATCTGATCCAAGCAGACAAAGTCATTGTATATTGAACATTCTCTTTTCAAATGTCAGACTCTCCTCCAAAACTCTCCTCCCTTATGGAAAACAGAAAAGCCGGTGTATGAACAATGTGGAGAAAAAGCAGCTGTCTTTTGGGACTTAATTGTTGAAACCATTAAAGTATTCAAGTACTGTTGTCAAATTTTTAGGATTAGCTGTAGACAGTAGGTCCCACAAACCATAAATTTTTGATGATATGCTTGCTGATATACAAAGAGAGTAGGCCCCATATTTTGCATGAATTGAAGGTGTGGATTGGTAATTCAGTGCTTGGAAAACCTGACTATGGTCTAGCACATACGTGGCCAGTGTTGTGAGTGTTGTGATTGTTCTAGGGTTAGTAAGCACTTTGGGAAATCCTCAAAGATTAAATCCAGGTCAGGTATGACATATCCCATTCAGACTACCTTAGTCCATTTCTGGAAGTAATAATGATCTCTCAAAATGAAGTCATTTATATTCTCAGCCATGCTCTATTGTGTACACTGAGTAATTTCTTGAGAGCATTGTTTCCTGTGGCACAATGCCAAGACTGGCTTTATTTGTTTTTCATTAGGATTTTCATTATCATGCTGCTATATACCTGGATCGCTCTACCTCCTCTGAGATGGCTGGCGTAGCTTGAGCACAGGCATGATGCTATGAGAAGGTGGAATGCTTTTGTTCAGCAAATGGCCATCTTAAATCCCTAACTGTGGTCCTATTCTAATGGCCCTAATCTTCTAGCACAGTCAATTATCTATTTATAACATGGTCTGATATTAAGCTGTTTACCTCCATCTATTTTGACACTTACAAGAAAAGGCATTACTCTCACTTTCTACCACTCCAGATCCACCCTTTCTCTTATCTTATGTCAGGAAAGGCATCTAGAGCTATCTCCTGCCCCACTCTGCATTTCTCTTCATTTCAGAGCCCTGATCTACAACTAAAACTGCTTGATAGTTTTCATTACCTTTCTGCCTTCCATATGTATACCCACTCGATCCCTAAAATATCTATAGCACCCTCTCAATGGTCTTCAATGAACCCAAGCCTGCCCTTCTAGTTCCTTGCTTTGAACATCTGTAAATACTCCATGTTGTTTGTTTTTGTTGGTTTTCTTTTTTTTCCACTTCTCTCCTAAGTATTTTGTGCTACACATTAATAGGATAGAGTTTGGTTCGTTCAGAGGAACACAGCAATACAAATTCTTGAAGTTCCACCCATTTCTCAAGTCTGCAATCTTTTATTTGTTTTAATGGAATGTCATTCCTGTGCTTGTTTATGGCACACACTATGATCATGTGACACCTGTGTACAATGGAGAATAACTAAATATGGCTAATTAACATTTATTTTCTTGAATATCATCCTTATGTGTTGAAAATGTTGAACTTTTAAATAATTTTAGTCTATATAAAACAGTTATAGAATATAGCTATTCTACTGTGTGGTGCAGCATTTTAATGAATCGCTCCCTTCTACCCCATTATCCGATCACCAAGATACTCTTAATAGCCTTGCAACCTTTTTTGAACTTTCTAGCTTCTACAAGTGAGTGAGACTGTACGATGGTCATATTCCATTTGGAATATTAAATGAACTTATTTTGCTATGTTTATTCTATATTATAGGTCTAATATCGACTTATGAGTGAGTATATACCCTGTGTGTCTTTCTGCTTCTGAGATACCTCACTCAGGATGATCTTTTCCAGATCCCACCATTTACCTGCAAATTTCATGATTTCCTTGTTTTTTTATCGCTGAGTAATATTCCATTGTGTAGATGTACCACAATCTCTGTATTCATTCCTCAACTGAGGGGCATCTAGGCTGTCTCCAGCTTCTGGATATTACAAATAAAGCTGCTACAAACATGGTTGAGCAGATGTCCTTGTTGTATACTTGAGCATATTTTGGATATATGCCTAGGAGTGGTATAGCTCAATCTTGAGGAAGCACTATTCCTAGTTGTCTGAGAAGCGCCTGATTGAAGCTAATCAGGAAGGAGGACGCTGGCTAAGATGCTCAATACCCATTTAGAAAGGCAAAGAGGATGGACATCAGAGGAGGGAGAAAACAGGGAATAGGACAGGGACCTACCAGAGAGGGCCTCTGAAAGGCTCTACCCTGCAGGGTATCCAGGCAGATGCTGAGACTCATAGCCAAACTTTGGGCAGAGTGCAGGGAAACTTACAAAAGAAGTGGGTGATAGTAAGACCTGGAGAGGACAAGAACTCCACAAGGACAGCAACAGATCCAAAAAATCTGGGCACAGGGGTCTTTTCTGAGACTGATACTCCAGCCAAGGACCACTCATGGAGATGGCCTGGAACCCCTGCACAGAGGTAGCCTATGGCAGTTCAGTGTCCAAGTGGGTTCCATAGTAATGGGGACAGGGTCTGCCTCTGACATGAACTGATTGGCCTGCTCTTTGATCACCTCTCCCTGAGAGGGGAGCAGCCTTACCAGGCCAGGCCACAGAAGAAGACAATGCAGCCACTCCTGATGAGACCTGATAGACTAGGATCAGAGGGAAGGGGAGGATCACCTCCCTTATCAGTGAACTGGGAGAGGGACAGGGGTGGGGAAGAGGAGGCTGGTAGTGGGAGTGAAGGAGGCAGGAAGGTACAGGGGGGATACAAAGTGAATAAACTGTAATTAATAAAAACAAAAATAATTATAAAAAATAAATAAACTTATTTATTTAAAGAGAAATTTTATCTTGTAAACACCGAGAGACTGGAATTTGGGGACAAAATGAGCAATCTTTACTTTCCTGTCTCAAACATTGATCAGGGGCTTAACAATAATCGTTTGCAATCTGAGCCTTTTAGGAGTAGACTGGTCCTTGGAGGATGTACTGCTTAGCCTTTTCATCTTACAGGGAAGGAAAGGGAGCCCCAACCATAAAAGTCAAAATGACCTTCCTAAATTTGAACTTTCATCATGCAACTCTTTTTTTAAGCCTGCCCATAATATTCCATGATGGCCAGAATGAATACAAATTATCATTATGCCATACAATGTCTGTTCAACTTAGCCTGGGTTTACGTTTTCATTCTTTATTTTTCTCTCCAATTTATTCCCAACATACATGCCTTTTTTTCTATAGGTTATTGCACATGGTTTTCACTTTGTCCTGCTTGTTTTAGATCCTAAGCATACTTCAGATATGTGATTATCTATCACCTTATCCAACAATGTGCCCTAATACTCTCAGGATTTCCAAGCAAGCCCCACATGGAACCTGTTTTCAGTGTTCAAATGGAAGGAATAACTACAGTCATTAGCAAATACTCGCATCTTACTCATCATTCCAGCCCCATGTTTTTAGAATCTGACATCCGGAATCTTAAAATGAATTATTTTTACTTTTACCTGCCACATACATGTCAATTTTTCCATCAATCCTCCTCTCAAAATCTATTTTCAGATTAGTTTTTTTTTTTAAGTAAATTGATTCATTCACATCCTTCTAGAAGTCACTGATAATCCTGAATGATGACTCTTCCTTGAACCATTTATATTTCTACAGGAAAAGTATTCTAAGTCTTAGAAATGACTCTTCAAGGCAGAGAAGTTAACCATAAATTGTAAGTCATGAAAGACATATGTGAGGGAAAGTCGGTGTCCATTAGCCTTCAGGCCAGTATCACGGGTGACCTACTCTTCACTCACACTCAAAGTGGGATGACTCCACTGTTGCTTGTAAAATTCAGAGTACTTGTTTTGGTCTGTGTAAAGTACATCCTTGCTTCACATAGCATAAATGCTGAACTTATCATGTTACATTTCTGGTTTTATTTCAGGGAAGCAATGTTATGGAAGATCAGGATTTGTTGGAAATTGGAATCCTTAATTCTGGACACAGGCAGAGAATTCTACAGGCAATCCAGCTCCTTCCAAAGGTAAGGGATGCTTCATTGGGCTCGCCTTAAGAATGGCTTCCAATGACAGTCAAAGCATGTAATGGTATTGACAGGAGTCTTCTACATGCTGCTTCAGCCCATGAGAATGGTCTTAGGTCCCACTTTAATTGGACACAAAGACTACCACGAGCTTCACTTGGTTTTAAACTTACCTACAAGACTGCAACACAGGAAACACTGCAGAGCAGTAGGACAGAATCAGAATATCCTTTCTGTGTGAGTCCTAACTCCAGTACAGTGACAACTGAGGTTAAAGAAGATGGGATTTATGCTGGGTGAGCGTGGTAATGTCCTTGGCTTAAAAGCTTCAGGAATGGTAGAAAATGTTTACTGATTATACATCTTACAGATGTATAATTAATATCTAGAATACGTAAAGAACTTAAAAAAAAACTGAATACCCCCCCAAAACCAAACAACAATAGATTGTTGGAATGGAGAGATAGTTCTCAAAAGATGAAAAGCAGATGGCAAATAAATATGTTAAAATTGTTAAGCATTCTTGCTCACCTGACTCATTGTGCTGGATAGTTTTATGCCAGCTTGATGAAGGCTAGAGTCATTTGAGAGGAGGAAACCTTAATTTAAAATGCACTCTGACTAAGACAGTCATCTAAGAAATACATAGTAAAAGCAGATCAAGATTCCATCTCATCCCACTCTGGATGAATGGCATTAGAAAACAAACAATAATCAGTGCTGGAGGTAGGAAAAAGAAAATATTTATGTACTGATGGTAGGGATATAAATTATCCCACTCACTGATTCAAAGGTCCCCCTATAAAACTTCAAATAGTACTATCATCACTTAGCTATATGACCAAAGGGTGTATGTCTGAAGAACTCTGTGTTTGCACACCACACAAATACTTGCACTGTGCAGTCAGACTAGGTATCCATTAGCATATGAATGATGTTTTGGTGTTGTGTATAGTATATATATGAGACAAAGTTTTGTTCACCATAGCAAAGGATGAAATTTTTTCATTATTTGGAATGAGATCATCATATTAAGTCAAATCAAATATAGAAAGTATTGCATATTTTCTTTCATTTGTGGGTCCTAGAATTCTTTATAAATAAAAACTACAACCCTACATCCACATATACATATGAGCAACGTGAAAACAAGAGGAAGACTATTGGAAGGGAAGAGACTATCAGAAGGAACAGTGGGAAGGGTCTAAAGGAAGAGACGGCTTTTGTCACACTATAGGACATACTTAAAGAATTCATCTGTGCAAGAATATACACTATATGCAATGAATATACACCAATAAGAACATTTTAGTGAAAGAGCCTCATGCTCCATAAGAAGCAATATCTCTTCTAGCAATTCCAGGACTTAGAGTCCTGCAAGGGACTTGCCAATAACAAAAGGCATCAATTTGGAGGTGTCCTCAGTGTCCCATCCCAGCACACATTTACAGTTGATAAGTTGGTTTCCAGTGTAGATGTGATTTGTCAACCAGATATCATTTTTACTGGAAACGGTAACCCAGCAACAGAGTTGACCTTATGTTTCCAGATGAGGTTTTAAAGGAAGAGGTAGGATATAAGTTCCAGCCTTTCAAGGTAGGTAGGATTTTAATTGGGAAGGGAAGGGAAAGGCACCTCAGGAGGCCAGAAGGAACTGTGTAATTACAGGTGTTACACAGGCAATGAAGCATTTGGGAAATAGTCATTTAAAATCCAGTGGGAGCAGCACAGCTATGTGTGTTTGGAATGCCCCTGAACTATATGGTTAAAATATTTAAGATAGTAAGTTTTGTGTATTTCCCAAAATTATCAGATGAAGCCGGAAGATTGGGTTTCTTCCATTTGTATGAGGCTAAAGAATTTGAATATATTTTGTGAGCACTAGGGAATGCCTAAGAGTAGAATACTCTATCCTGCTTAAGTCTGGAGGAAATTTGCCAGAGGAACTGAAGGAGAGAAAGTTGAGGTTGGGTCCACCAGCACAGAAAAGATGAAGGGAGGCAAGATTGGAGTAGGAGAACTGCAATGAGGATGCCTAACACCCATGAGTGATTCCTGGGGCTTCTCCCTTTTTCTCTCTTCCTGACTAGGGAGGCTAGAGTTTCTCCTCAGACAGAGGAAGACAAATACTAATCACAAATACAAATTAGTTTCTAAGGACGTGATCTGATGAAATTTGCCCACTGACGAACTAAGTTTCTACTGAAAGAAAGTTAACACATTAGCAAATGTGAGAGTTAAGCACACTGAAGAGCTTAATCATACGAGTTTCTACATTAAAAAGGAAAGAATGAAAATGTCTTTAGACTTAACTCCTGAAGTGATTTCACAGGCATGTTTCCACCTCACTACTTAAGGTACTGTTTCCTTAGTCAGTGTCCCACTTGCCTGCAGTGAGAGCTTCTGCGAAGCTGTATTCAACACCCTGTGCGGTCTCCACCCCTTAACAGCTAAAAGCCCCACGTACCAGTGATGGCCATTCCACAATACAGCCACATTTAAAATTCAGTTCAAACAGTAGCATCTCACTTCTTTTGAGAAACTTTGCCTAAACTGTAACCATTTCTCACTACATTTGCAGTGAGAAATCTAATCCAAATACACCCCTTTTAGTAAGAGTGCCAATGGAAGTTCTTATCTATTTTCATGGCTAGGCTACCTGAGCCAGTTTTCTCATTGATCCTCTCCATCATGGACCATTCACTCACCTCCATTTCTCCCTCCTGATATCTCTCTTTATCTCAGCAAATGGATTTCACAGTGTCTCCACCAACCCTTCTAAACTATGAATCAAGTCATACCACATTATGCTAAAAATCACCTCTTGTGATTTTTCTAAGTCTTCAGGATTAGAAGAAAGCCCTTACCTTGGCCTATAAAAGTCAATAGGATCTGGTCCTTTCCTACCTCATGGTCATTTTTATCATTCTCTTCTATGCTCAAGTCAGTGCCTTTTTCTTTGTTACACAAAGTGACAAGCTCGTTTCTGCCTTGGGGTCTTTGTTCATCCTTCGGAGTCCCATAACATCACTGAGGCTTGGACTCAGACACCCACTCCACAGAGTCTTTCCCAATTTAACAGTCTGCACTCAGCCGCTATTGCTCTCTTTGATGGTGCCTGCTTTGTTTTCCCCAGAGCACCTATAGCTACCTGAAGTTATATTGTTTATTTGTTTCTTCATTATTTTCCATCTTGCCACGAGGTAGCCAGCCCCAAGAGTTCAAGAACCTTGACTCATTTGTTTCTTTCTAAAGTCAGTCCCTTGATGGATCCTAGCACCAAGCAGCTATACAAGAAATATTTGTGGAATGAGAACACACAGTGATCTCTGATTTATTTGAGATTTTTTTTTTACATCCTTATGCTTGTTCCTATGTGAGGATACTGATGATAATCTGTATATAAGCATACAAGCAGCTGAGCTCACTCAATGCCTTGAAACTTTCTTGTACTTAGCCCCATTATACGACCATTAAAAGAATGAATGAATGAGCAAATAAATGTTACCTCACTTTGCATTCAAATATTTTTAAAACCTGGAATGCCTTGATTTTAAGATAATTCTATAATCCACAAACAAGGTCATGAGAAATGAAAAAAAAACTTACCCTAGAATTATTTGGAGAATAAATGAAATGTTTATTTTTAAGACAGGATATTATCCCCATTGTAGGAAGCAATGTTATAGAAACAAGGCAAAATTAAGCTGGTCCAGAGGCGGGTGAAGAAATGACGACTGCATGCACACAAATGAGTAGAGAATGCATAAGAATGGCCGAATCCATCCTCCATAGCACAACAGACTGTTACAGTGCTTCAAATTGATGCTTTGCTTTTTTAGAGAATGAGCCTAATCTTCTCATGGCTAATAGCATAATATTAGTGCTAGGACATTCATCTGCATTCACTGTGGGTTTGCACTGCTAGAATAATTGACAGAACGCTGCTTTGTTTCATTCACACAGTTTCTGGCCTTCAGAATGTTTGTGCTCCTTATCTGTCATGAGAAGCATTCCATAATCACTATAGGAGACCCCTTTGTAACACACTGAATTCAGGGAGTGGTGAGGCTGCTCCCAGACAGGGAAAAGGTGAGCTGCAAAGTACAACCTTGATCTGTTGGCTTGTTCCAAAGCATGCTTTATTTATGTTCTGTTGATTCAAGTTTTGAAGGAAAATAACTTTGCTGACAAGCTCTCACCTGCAATATGTCTGCTTGAATATTGAAATATACACCAGTGCAATGATCCACAGGTTTTCCAGCACAGTTGACATGTTCATGAAGTAGAGTATGCTGTGTGTATTCTAACCAGTCTCCTTCAGAACAGTAATTGCATCAAGTCAGTTCCTTCTCCCACTAATTTGCCTCTGTCTTTCCCATTGCATGGCCTACAGCACTGAGGCATGACCAGTTCTTACATGGCATCCACTTCCTCCACCAGGCCCAAGTTGGGCTTTATTCAGGTTGAAATTTCCTATAAGCTTTTGAAGATCAAAGTTCATCCCCTTTCCTTTATAAGAAGCAAACCATGCCAAAACTTCCATAAGAAGTTCTATACTTTCTTACATACTAGACATGTTCTACTTTTTCTGTCCCTTAGATACAGGAATACAGAGAAATTACTCAGGGACATAGGGACACAAGGAAATTATCTAATCTTGTATTTGCAGCATTTTAACCTTTCCAGGTAAGAACCCCATGAATAAATCTTTGGATAAGCCTTTAATATATTTTCCTTTTAAAGAGGTATGAGTGTATTTTTGTCCTTTGATAATAGAGCACCTGAAGGTGAGATATTCAAAGAATTTTCATTTTGTAAAGGTTGAGAGCGCTTTGAGCCAAGGCACATATTGTATCTTCTTAATATCTCTCATCCTGAGTTGAAAATGTACCCTGTCAAGCTTACAGATATCATGTCCTGGTTTTCCCAGTTTCATCTGCTAACACTTCCCATATTACAGCAGCTTTAGGAGTTACTCAGCAGCTGTCTGCAAGTAC